TTGTTTTTGTTTCCTTTGCCTCAGGAGATGTATCTAGTAAGAAGTTGCTCCTGCTGAGGTCAGAGAGGTTGCAGCCTGTGTTCTCCTCTAGAGTTTTGATGGTTTCCTATCTCACATTTAGGTCTTTCATCAATTTTGAATTTATTTTTATGTATGGTATAAGAAAGTGGTCCAGTTTTAGTTTTCTGCTTTCTGTGGTCCTGTTTTCACAATACCATTTGTTGAAGAGACTGTCTTTTTCCCTTGGATAATCTACCCTACTTTGTTGAAGACTAGTTGGCCATATAATTGTGGGTCCATTTCTGGATTCACTGTTCTATTACCCTCATCTATGTGTCTGTTTTTGTGCCAGTGCCATACTATCTTGATGACTGCAACTTTGTAATATAGCTTGAGGTATGGAATCGTGATGCCTCCAGCTTTGCTTTTCTATTTCAAGATTGCTTTGGCTATTTGAGGTCTTTTAGGGTTCAATACAAATTTTAGGGTTGTTCTAGCTCTGCAAAAAAATGCTAGTGGTATTTTGATAGAGATTGCATTAAACTGCATTATAATTGCTTTGGGCATTATAGTTATTTTAACAGTACTTGTTCTTCCAATCCATGAGCAACAAATGTTTGTCATCTTCAATGTCTTTCATCAGTGTTTTATAGTTTTCAGAGTACAGATCTTTTACCTCTTTCGTTAGGTTTATTCCTAAGTGTCTTACGGTTTTTGGTGAAGTTGTAAATGTGATCGATTCCTTGATTTCTCTTTCTGCTTCTTCATAGTTGGCATATAGGAATGTGACAGATTTCTGTATGTTGGATTCATATCCTGCAACTTTACTGAATTTGTGTATCAATTCTAGCAATTTTTGAGTCAAGTCTTTCAGGTGTTCTGCATAGAGTATCATGTCTTCTGCAAATAGTGAAAGCCTGACCTCTTCCTTGCCAATTTGGATGCCTCTATTGCTGAAGTTAGGACTTCCAGTACTATATACAATAACAGTGGTGGGAGTCAACATCACTCCTGACTGCAGAGGAAAAGCTCTCAGTTTTTCCCCATTGAAGTTGATATTAGCTGTGGGTTTTTCATATATGGTGATTATGATGTTGAGGTATGTTCCCTCTATCCCTACTTTGTTGAAGGTTTTTATTAAGAATGTATGCTGTATTTGGTCAAATGCTTTTTCTACATCTACTGAGAAGATTATATGTTTCATATCTTTTATTATTGTGGTGTGTAACACTGATTGATTTACAAATATTAAACCACCCTGGCAGCCCAGAGATAAATCCCACTTGGTTGTGGTGAATTATCTTATCAATGTATTGTTGGATTTGATTTGCTAGTACCTTGTTAAGAATTTTTGCTTCCATATTTACCAGCGATATTGGCCTGTAGTTCTCTTTTTTAGTGGAGTCTTTGTTTGGTTTTGGAACCAGGGTAATGCTGGCCTTGTAGAATGAGTTTGGAGGTTTTCCTTCCATTTCTTTCTTTTTTTTTTTTTTTTTTTTGAATAGTTTGAGAAGAATATGTATTAACTTTTCTTTAAGTGTTTGGTAGAATTCCCTGTGAAACCAGTTGGCCCTGGACTTTTGCTTATTGGGAGGCTTTTGATTACTGATTCAATTTTTTTACTGGCTATGGGTCTGTTAAAGTTTTCTATTTCTTCTGTTTCAGTTTTGGTGTCTATATGTTTCTAGACACCATTTCTTCCAGACATGGAACACCAGAAATGGACACCACTAGTCCATTTCTTCCAGACTACCCAATCTGTTGGTATATAATTTTTCATAATATTCTATTATAATTGTTTATATTTTGTGGTTTTGGTTGTGATCTCTCCTCTCTCATTCATGATTTTATTTATTTGGGTCCTTCCCCTTTTCTTTTTGATAAGTCTGGCTAGGGGGTTATAATATTATCATTTTTTTCAAAGAAACCGACTCCTGGCTTCATTGATGTGTTTTAGTGTTTTGTTTGTTTCTATATTATTTATTTCTGGTCTATCTTTATTATTTTCCTTCTTCTGCTGGCTTTAGGCTTCATTTGTTGTTCATTTTTTTTAATCTAGCTCTTTTAGGTGTAGGGTTAGGTTATTTATTTAAGTTTTTTCATGCTTCTTGAGGTAGGCCTGTATTGCTACATGCTTCCCTTTTATGACTGCTTTTGCTGCATCCCAAAGATTTTGGACTGTCATGTTTTCATGAGTCTCTTGTAGGCAGCATATAGATGAGTCTTGTTTTTTATGCATTCTGACACACTTGTGTCTTTTGTTTGGAGTTTTTAGTCCATTTATATCCAGAGTAAATACTGATAAATATGAATGTAGTGCCATTTTAATGCTTGTTTTGTCATTTTTTTCTAGAGATTTTCTGTTTCTTTTTCCTACTCAAAGAGTCCCCTATAATATTTCTTGCAGGGCTGGTTTAGTGGACACAAATCCTTTAGTCTTTGTTTGTCTGGAAAACTCTTTCTCTGCTTCTATTCTGAATGATAACCTTGCTGGATAGAATATTCTTGGTTGTTGACTTTTTGCATTCAGCATGATGAATATACAATGCCACTGCTTCTTGGCCTGCCAAGTCTCTATAAAGAGAGCTGCCATTAACCTTATTTGTCTTCCCTGTGAATTATTTTATATTTCTGCTTTTAACATTTTTCTTTACCACTCTATTTTGCAAATTTAGCTACTATATGTCTTGGTGTTGGCCTGCTTTTGTTGATTTTGATGGGAGCTCTCTGTGCTTCCTGTATTTGGAAGTTTGTTTCCTTCTCCAGATTAAGGAAATTTCTCAGTTATTATTTCCTCAAATAAACCTTCTGACCCCTTTTTACTTCTTTGTCTTCTGGGACTCCTATGATACAAATATTATTATACTTTATGGCATCACTGAGTTCTCTAAGTCTACTTTCATGATCCAAGATTTTTGTTTCCCTCTTTTGATCAGCTCCATTATTTTCAGTAATTCTATCTGCTATGTCACTTATTCATTTCCCTGCTCCTCAATGTTTGTGATCATTGCTCCAGTGGATTTTGAATCTCATTATTGAATTTTTCATTGTGGCTTGGTTGTTTTTAAGTTCTTTTACCTTTGTAGTGAGGGACTTCTTGTGTCTTTTTAAACCCAGCTAGTATTCTTATGATTGTTTGCTTTAAATTCTGGATCAGGCATATTACTTATATCAGGTTCAATTAGATCCCTGGTCATGACCTTTTCTTGTTCTTTCCTTTGGGATGAATTCCTCTGTCTTGGCATTTTGTTCAGGTCTTTGTATTATTCTGTGTTAGGAAAGCTTGTCGTGTTTCCTGCCTCTGAGAGTAATAGCTTTATGAAGAAGAGGTCATATAATGTTTAGGGCCTGGCACTTCAGGCAGTGTCTTTGGCATATGCTGCACACACTCTGCCCTTGAGTTATGGCTGCTCTCCCTCAGGTCAGTCCTATACAGGGTTTCTCCTTACCTGTAGTGGGGAGTGTTTGTACCTTGGCCAGAGGGTGGTGAGTTTTAACTAGGTATGCTCTGATCTGCCTGTTAAGAAAGACCTGAATCTATTTCCACTAGAGGTGATGCTTTGCAGAACTCTATGGTCAGTAGATGGGGTGCATGCAGGGGATTTTCAACGGTTTTCTGGCAGAAGGACCTACTGTACTGGTTCCCAGGCACACATTCCCTAGAAAACCAGTTACCGGCAGAGCTCAGGGAGGTGGCAGTTGGTGTATACAGGTTAGGCAGCCAATGTTGGCCCTGTGCTGTTGACTAAAGCTAGTTTATGCGGAGGGACAAAGAAGGGAAATGGCACTAGTCAGCTCCTTTGTCCCTGGAGGGAGTTCGAGCTTGCTGCTGTCAGGAAAGCCCTCCCAGAAGAGCAAATAATTTCCCCTTGTGTGTTGTAGGTATTTTTCAGACTGCTCTTTTCACATTGTCTGTCTCCAACTTGCTTGCCTGCCTGGACAAGTGCAATAAACTTTTTGCTCTATCCCAGCCAGGCCGGCAGGCTTTAAAACTCTAAACTTTAGGGAGCCGGTATGGCAGGGACTTATGCTGGTCTTCTGGGGGACAATCTCACTGCACTGGGATTGGTGTAGGTTTGACCCAGAAAGGCACATGCACCAGAGCTCAGGAGTGTAGAATTTGGAACAAAGCACACTAAGCAGTCAGTGTCTGAGTTAGCTGCCCTCAACAAGTGTCTCTGCACCTATGCCAATGAAAGGGAGAGGGAATGGGTGCCTGCCGACTCCTTTGTTCCCAGAGAGACAATGCCACTTCTCTTAGACATACTCTAAGAAGGGTGGAGAGGGGGACTGTCTGTCCCAGTATATTTAAGGTGATCCACAGATCAAACCCTCTGCCTCTGGGTTACCTGCCTACCTACCTACAGGAGTGATGCAGTACACTCAAGACTTTACCCTAGCCATGCCATGGACCTCTAAACCTCTAGTCTTTGAGCCCCACTACTTGCAAATACTCATGAAAATCATTCCCTTTTGTTTTCTCAGTCAGTGGCTTTGGGGAAGTGTTTCCTTGTGTGATCCCTCACGTGCTCCTCTCTCTCTCTCCATCTCTCTGCAACCAGGGCTCCCTCCCTTCCACAGCACCTGTGATCTGTTTCTCCCCAAAACCACATCTTTATAACTCTTACCTTTCACAATATGTCCTCCTCTCTCCTATTTGTGCAGTTTGTTCTGATTTCCTTAGTTCGATTTATTGGGTATTCAGAATGATTTGATATTTATCTAACTGTATTCAAGGGATGAGGCAAGTCTAGGGTCTTCCTACTACCCTTTTACCTTAGCTCTTCTCCCCCCTATACTGTTTTCAAAAGACTCACTTGATGCCTAAAAGTTCTTTGTAACTTAAATTTAATTTGTGTTGACTTGCTGACATTTTTATTTTGGTATATATTTTATATATATATACCAAAGGCTGTCCTCCATGATCACTGGAACATTTCATCAATAATCTAACTCAAAGTATATAACCAGGTATATATTCTCTTTTAATTCCTATACAGATCTGTAGATTTGGATATTATTGAAGTTGTTAAAACCATCCATGAATTCTTCCTGTCTAAAGTCTTCTTGTATTCACTCTCATTTACAGTGGTAATTTACAACCTATTTTTAAACATTCAGACTATGAATAATCTTTCTATTTAAAAGCATTTCCTCTGTGAAGTACAACTATTTTGAATCTGCAGATCATATGCTAATTTAAATATTTTCTTTCTATACATTTAGAGCTCATACCTTATAGATACCCAAGGAATTTACTCATTTTGTGGAGAAAAAAATGTTCTGAAGAGTTGATATCTTTATTGACTTGAGGCACTCATAACTCCAAGAATATGAATCTAACATTCTTAGTCTTGCAATCAGTATTGTTGGAAATTAAGGCTAAATTCTACCTGTCAGAAACTATTGTGGAAACAGTTTTTTTGCATGGAAAATAAATGTAGCTATCTGTGAACATAGTCATGAATGTGGTGTATTAGAAATTAACTAATAATTCTAATTAGTTATTAGAATTAGAATTAATAATTAGTTATTAGAATTAGAATAATTCTAATTAGTATCTAGGCTTGTAGAATGTTGTGTTCCTTCTCACCAAACTCCACGCCCGAAAAACAAACAACCCAGTGAAGAAATGGGCAGAAGACATGAACAGACACTTCTCCAAAGAGGACATCCAGATGGCCAACAGACACATGAAACGATGCTCAGCATCCCTCCTCATCAGGGAAATACAAATCAAAACCACACTGAGATACCACCTCACGCCAGTCAGAGTGGCTAAAATGAGCAAATCAGAGAACTCTAGATGCTGGCGAGGATGTGGAGAAACGGGCACCCTCCTACACTGTTGGTGGGAATGTAAACTGGTACAGCCCCTCTGGAAAACAGTGTGGAGGTTCCTCAGGAAACTAACAATAGAACTCCCCTATGACCCAGCAATAGCACTGCTAGGAATTTACCCAAGGGATACAGAAATGCTGAGGCATAGGAGCACATGTACCCCAATGTTCATAGCAGCACTCTCCACAATAGCTAAAACATGGAAAGAGCCTAAGTGTCCATCAACAGATGAATGGATCAAGAAGATGTGGTTTATCTATACCATGGAATACTACATGGCAATGAGAAACAATGAAATCTGGCCATGTGTAGCAACATGGATGGACCTTGAGGGTGTTATGCTGAGCAAAATAAGTCAGGCAGAGAAGGACAAATACCATATGTTTGCACGTATAGGAGGATTAGGAGGAACTTGACGGAGTAACAAGGGGGAGAAGAAGGGGGGAAATGATGGGGGAAAGGGAGAGAAGCAAACCATGAGAGACTCTTGAATGATGACAAAAACTGAGGACTGATGGATGTGGGGGGGAGGGGGGAGGGGCATGGAGGAGGGCACTTGTGGGGATGAGCACTGAGTGTTATGTGGAAACTAATTTGACAATAAACTATTAGAAAAAAAAATGTACATGGCAAGAATAAAAAAGTCTTCATGGCAAGTATTGGTTGATAAATAGCCTGTCAATTATAGAAACTATTTTCTTCTAGGATCAGACATTTTAATAGTCTTCTCTTTTTCTAACCTGCTGGGATTTGTAAAACCTCTCATGCTTTTTTTTTTTTTTTATATTCAGTACTCTCAAAACACTTTTCTCCCAGCTTACATAATAGCAATTTCAAGCCATTCTCCGTCAAACATGATCATGAAGGAAAAGTTGGAGCATTACCATTAGTATATTCGTTATGTGTATTCATTTTTCTGTCCATTATCTGAAAACAGTCATTTGTATATATTATTAAATTGGTACCTTACACCCTCCTCTGCATTGTGTCATGTTTCCCTAAAATCCTTCAATTGTACATTTCCTATATGACTAATGATTTGTTCACCAGTGGGGGCAGAAACTGCAAACAAAATCCATCCAACATACTTTTTAAATTTTTTTTTTATTAAGGCCTCTCTTCTTTCTGTGATTTGTAATCATGAATAAAAGGTGGCTAATAATCCCGAGCTTTGGTTCTTATTGCTGAGAGCTCCTTGTGTGTTCATCATTATAAGTGATCATATTGGTCAGATACATGAAGCATGGCCACTCCCACATATGGAAATGGAGGGAATGTGAACCTTCCATCTCTGTAAGGAGAAACTGGAAACTGCCGTCTGGATAGCAGTTTGGATTTCTCAACTTCAGTTGAGTACTAATGACATTGTGGACCAGATAACTCTTTGTTGTGGGGGCTGTCTTATGCACTGTGGGATGTTTAGCAGCACTTTTGGCTTCTACCTGCTAGATGCTGGTAGCACCTCCCTAGTTCTGACAGTCAAAACTGCTTCTAAATATTGTCAGCTGTCCTCTAGGATAAAAATTTCCTTCATTTGAGCATAGCTGCTCTAAAGAAAGATAGAAGAGTCTCTAAGCTCTTAAGTTTCTAGGTTTGGGATCAGGGACAATGTTTAGCAAGATGTCAAAACTGGAAGAGAAAAATATTAGTATAAAAAATGTGGCTTCCACTCTGAAGGAAGTCCTCACCAAACAGTAACCAAAGATCTATTTCTAATTTGCAGGTATGATGATGAATAAGTGTTTGTTCGATCTTGGCACAACATCATAGACACTTACCATATGATGGCTTACTGATTTAGTAGATGTCACATTGTAACAAGAAAACTACCTTCTTTTAAGAGGACAGTGCATTTTTTTTTTATCAGACTATTGCTTGCCATATTCAAACTACCTTGCTTAATGAGAATCTTCCAAGTCTGATCATTACAAGGGCTTTGAGGATATAAAGTTATGATTAAAATCGTCTTTATCAAGAGTAGTGGGGATGGAAGAAGAAGGAAGACTAACAGATGACTCTTCTCAGATGAGAGGAATAGCTCCACAGATCCTGGCAAGTGGAATCTACGGATACGTTTCAAGTATTCAATAGCAGCATAGATTTTCAAGTAGACATCTGGAGCCATAACTAAATTTGTCTTACAAAAAGAAATGAGGGCCATGTAAATCATTCAAAAGTATGCAAAAAATTAAATCAGCAACTTTTTATAAAATAATTTTAAATGGTATAGACATACAAGGAAATATCTCGGGATATTTTAATTTATGAAATATACAAAATAAAACAGGAGTTGTTAAGGTATTAAAGTTAAAACCCTTAATAACCAATTTCACTCTAATTATACACAGCTAAATTTAGAGCAGAATCTTTCAAAAAATTTCTTTAATGTTTTATTTATTTCTGAGAGAGAGAGAGAGAGAGAGAGGGAGCGCATGAGCAGGGGAGGGTCAGGGAGAGAGGGAGATACAGAATCCGAGACAGGCTCCAGGCTCTGAGCTGGCAGTCAGCACAGAGCCTAACATGGGGCTCAAACCCACAAACCATGAGATCATGACCTGAGCCAAAGTCATACGCTTAACCGACTGAGCCACCCAGGAGCCCCTAGAGCAGAATCTTTCAACCTAAAGATTATAGTGAGGAAATTAGAGTTCTGCAACCCGTGTTTGTGTTAAGGAGTCAAGATGGGTCTCAGGGATAGACATCAAGCTGAGAGTTAGAAAATCTAGATTATAGTCTTAGCTTTTTAACAAAAACTTTATGATCTTGAATAAATCACCAAACCTATCCAACTTCTTTCAGATCTGTACTTCTCCGATTATCTTTATTAGACAGGCAGTTACTGTCACAGGGTAGCTGCCCTAGTATGATAAGGGACATGATATGTCACAGAACCTGAATTCCTCAAGTCCGTCATTTTTGGGGGGGGATGGAGGGGAGGGGGAGGTTTTCTGGCTGAAGCACACACCAGAAGCAATGAATGGTGTGAAGTAAATCTGAGTTCAGAAATGGAGACAGATTATTACATGATTCCATCAACCTGCATCAACTTCCCACCTCTCCCTGTATACAACGTAGTAGAGTGGCTCTGTCACAGTTTAAGAACCAAGAGCAGAGTTAGTCAATGTTGCACTTGTTCTGCTGTACATGCCTCTACTTCCCCGTCTCCCCATTCATGTCTACACTCACTGTATTCCGGCTTACTTGTTAGTCCTGGCTGCCCTCTGCAGCGGTGGTTGCAGTCTAGCCCTCTCTGCAACTTTTGACACTCTCTCTTCCCCATTACAGAGCACTCTTTTCTCATTATCCTTTCTGTTTCCTTCCCAGGCTCCCTTTCTGCTAATCCTCTCTGTTGACAGTTCTCAAAGTTTCCATCTGCTGCCCTGTGCTATTCTCACTATAAATACTCTCCCTGGAAGAATTTCTTTTTTTTTTTTTTTTGGAAGAATTTCTTAAGAAGCTTTTTTAAGATAAAATTCTCATATCATACAACCTTCCCATTTAAAGTGTGCAATATAGTATTTTGAGCTTTTTTTTAGCTTTTTCAGAGATATGTACAATCATCACCAACATCAATTTTAGAGCATTTCATCACTTCAAATGGAAATCCCCTAACTTCAGCTATCACCTCCTATTCCCTCATTTTCTCCAGTTCTAAGAAGCTACTAATCTACTTTTTGTCTCTATAGATTCTCCTATTCTGCACATTTCATACAGATCAAATAATATAATATTTGGTCTGTGGTGACTGGCTTCTCTCACTTAGCACCGTGTTTCAAAGTTCATCTACATCGGAGCATACATCAGTATTCATTCCTTTTTTTGTTGTTGAATAATATTATATTGTATGGACATACTACACTTCATTTATCCATTCATTAGTTGATATGCATTTAGATTGTTTCTACCTTTTGACCATTAGATAGCATTGCTGTGAGCATTTGTGTACAAATTTGTGTGTAGATAATAGATTTTCATTTATTTGTATATATGTGAATTTCATTTATTTCATTTATTTGCATATATTTCAAATAAATACATTTCATTTATTTACATATATATGATATATATCTGATACATATATGGCACTGGAATTGCTAGATCTCATTCATTACTAAGGTTTTAGTCACAGTATCTATCCAGGGTCATTTCTTAGACTATCTCTAGTTCAGATTCTTTCACACCACAAGCTTCAGGCAAATATGGTCACATACCTACTGAAACTCCCATCTGGATGTTCTGTAGACAGCTTCAACAACAACATATCCCAAACTGAACTCACTTTCCTCTCCAAATTGCTTTCACCCCCTGAATTATTTATATTTGTTCATGTCCCCCACATACCCTCACTTGTTTCATTTGCCCCCTCTTGTTTATCCCTATTCATTCAGTATATACTATATCCTGCCAGTTTATATCCCATATATTCCCCAGCTGTATCCTCTCAATTTGCCACATCTGCCCGAGTTCAGAAATTCCCTTCTAGGTTACAACAGTGTAACTGGCTTCCTTGCCTTTGGCTTTGTCATTCTCTCATCCAAAGTCCATAGTGTGATTCTTCTAAAACTTAAATTTGAACCTGCCACTCTTCTATTTATACTCTTCAATAACTCAACAATACCTAGAGAATTAAGATTATGCTCTACAGTATGATCCTCCCCACACTGTTTTTCTTACCATTCCTTGTCTGACACTTCAAGCTCCAGCAACTTTGAAAATGTTGTAGTTTCTGACATGCACTGTCCTGCTTTTAGCTCACGTGCATTTACAAATACTATTTCCTGCTTGCAGTGTGCCTCCCTTTTCCTTTAACTGTCCACTGCCCACCCCTCCTCTGACTTTGTGTAATTAATATTCATCTCTTAGGATCCACGGGCCCTCCCATAGGAATCTCTCCCATATGCTCTCCTCTATTTCTATCCCAAGCAGGGTTAAGTGCCCTTCCTCTGTGTTCACATAATAACCAATAAGATTTTCTTTTAACACATGGGCCACAAATTTCTTTCTCATTGACTTTTTACCCATTGACTTCTTGATTTCTGAAAGCTTGGAGTGTTTTATCCCCATAATCTAGCATAGTAGCTGAAATATAATATTTCTAAAATTGATGATATGCATCCATTCCTCTGATCACTATAATAACCCAATCTACAGATAGGTGTCATGATGGCACATGCAGTGGAGACATATGAGATCTCCAGGAGCACTCCATTAAAAATAATTTTGAGACAAAAGCCAGGCTTAATTAATCACAACCATAGAAGAACACCAGAGTCTTCTAAATTAGGCTTTAAGTTCACTGAAAGTGATGGATATGTTTTATATCCTCCATAATCCGTGTTACTCAAAAAAAAATTCTAGAGCAAATAAAATGACATATACTTAACGAGAACTTCACTTCTGTGAAAAATTTGAAGAAGAGGCATTTGAGAGGAACTCTAATTTTTTCTATCAATGGCTCAAGAACCAGTAATTTTAGCTTCATAACATACGAGATAATACAATTTGTATAAGGTGACATTCATATATCAGAAATTAAAAATTCATGAATGAAATATATCAAAGAATGTATTATGTATTTGTGCAAAGGGATACTTCTATATTCTCATCCGATAGCTGTAGTTTCCTCATTGACCCTCCCTCTACTTAAAACCAACATGAAACTGAACTAGCTCATCAAATACTATTTCCAGTATTTTTTTAAGTTTATTTATTTATCTTGAGAGAGAGAGAGAGAGACCATGCAAACAGGGGAGAGGCAGAGAGAATATCCCAAGTAGGCTCTGCACTGTGAGTGCTCGACTCACAAACCATGAGATCATGACCTGAGCTGAAGTCAAGAGTCAGACACTTAACCCACTGAACCATGCAGGTACCCTGATTTCTAGTATTTTTGTTTCATGTATTTAAAAATATTTGGGCATGCAAAGAGTAACTTGTAACCTGCTAATTCTGGAGTTATTCCTCTCTAAGACACCGAAATTAATCTTTCTTTCAAGAGGCAAAGTTATTATAATATTGTTTTTCTATGACTTAGTTCTTTTATCATGTTGGAGTAATAAGTGGCACAGTATATCAAAAATTATACCAAAAACTAACATGGCAAAAAATTTTAAAGGTTATGAAATTGCTAAAACTTTTTTCTAGTAAATAATCCAAATAGATTCGACCGTATTTCAAGCTGTACCTTACACAATCTACCTTATAATATTGCTCAATTTTCTGAGATCTCAAACGAATGTAGTTCAGCAGAGAAAAATTATGTTGATTTTTCAATATGACAAAAATGTATTAAAATGTTAAACACACATATAGAGCACTAAAATATCTAGCTCATTTACATAGTTTGAAAGTGTATATTTTGTTAACTTTTTTATTTACTAGAATCATATTTTCACTTAAACATGATTTAATGGAAAGCATATTCTACCAAAACAAAGGCCTAAATTCTAGCCCTGTCTATAAATCTGAACAATAGAGCCAGAACAAAAATACTCTATTTGGTTATACACTTGCAAAACAGATCTTTACCAGAGATTTCATGTCTACAAAGTGTTTCACAACCCTGTAGATTCCTGAGGTAGTAACCAACATAGAATAATTATTTTTCTTTTCCCAGGTGTTTACATGAAAATTTATAATTACCATTTGTAATTTTTATCATTTAATAACAGAAAGAGATTTTAATACTGGAATGTAAAAAGGATATACTACCAGCATTAAACAAACATGTAACATTTAAATTTATGAAATTTCAAACATTGTTTTATTTTTCTCATTTTTCCTCACAAAACACTGCAGATTACTAATTTATACCATTTGTATAAATAATTAAGGACTTGCCAAATACCGTGTACATTTAAATACCAAGTTCAAACCCTAATGATTCTTTTTAAAAATATTTTTAAGTTTGCCTCTCTCCCTTTCCCCCACCATTCCATGAGAGACTCTTGAATGCTGACAAAAACTGAGGACTGATGGATGTGGGGGGGAGGGGGAGGGATGGGCATGGAAGAGGGCACTTGTGGGGATGAGCACTGGGTGTTATGTAGAAACTAATTTGACAATAAACTATTTGTTAAAAAAAAATTTTTAAGTAATAAAATTACTGAAAAGCACAGACACCTAGGAATTTTCCTTTAGTTTCTACAAACCTAAGATAGAGATTAAATTAATGATGCATTTTGAGGCATTCAGTACATTGCAAATCATTTTTTTATTTCAGATTGATTTTCCAGGTACTGAGTGGGAGTATATGAAGCTTGATTCTGAAGAGAATAGAAGTAATCTTGAAGAACCACCAAAAGAGTGTTTAAAACATATTGCCAGACTTTCACAGAAACAGTCTCCTTTACTGTAAGTGACCCAGATCTTGTGAGTGAATTTCATCTGCTGTTCATGATACCATCAACCGTACTGGAAGCATTGATATCTTTAAAGTGAACCTTCTAACAAAACTCGTTTCATTTCCTAAAGTGACACCTATTGGATGATCAGTTAATGTTTACAAGCTGAATTAGTTACTCTGTATGTTTTTTAAATATTTTTCTCCCATGGCATTTAGCAACTTTAATTTTAGTCAAAGGACAAATTAAAAGATTGGAAATCATTTAGTTTAGTACCACAAAACAGAGACTGATTAGATATATATCAGTGTTTAACAGTGATAAACCATTGCTCAATCATCCTTCAACTGAGTAGAAACTTGTTTTAGTAAATAGGAAAAAGCAAAATTTAAATTTTATGCAGATTTAAAAATAATAGATAAAAATCATGTTTTAATTGCACTAAATTAGTGGCTAATGAGTACTTAAATTTTGTCAAGCACTAATTCTCTGAAAAATGAAATAGAATCCCAGGAAGAGCTGTAAGAGAACTAGTATTATTGGTACTTTCTACCTGGTAATATCTAATCCATCACTGATGGAGCTCATTAATAGCATGCAAAAGCTTAAACTTAAGCAGTAACTTTTTAAGTATATACTGATAAGATTTATAATGTGGTAAAGCTTTTTATTCCAAGAACAATAAATTATTTAAATATTTTCAACAAGAGAGTCATGTGATCTAAATAATCTTTTTGAGTGATCCTTGGACCTCAAGTTGAAAAATGGATTATAGAGAAAGAAAGAAAGGAGGCAGTGCAGCAAGAAAGTTGTTTTTAAGCAAGAGTTCATTGTGGCTAAGACTAGGGTGATGATCAAGGACGTTGGTAGAAATGGCTAGATTTGGGAGACACGTTTTGCAAAATGAGAAGAAGTGGCTTAGGGGCGCCAGGGTGGCTCATTCAGAGAAGCATCTGACTTTGGCAAAATGAGAAGAAATGGCTTGATGATTAATAGTAACTGGGGGATAAGCCAACTGAGAAAACAAGAAATCAAATTAAATCTATAGAGAATCCAAAGTTTTGAAAAGATTGAATGTGCAGATGTTAGAGTCATTTTCTGGAGAAGGAATAAGTTTGGGCCACGTCAGACTGAAGTGTTGAGTGTGATCAAGAGTTCTGTTTTGGGTATTCTTATTACTGCTTCCCTATTTCTAATTTCACTTTGTAATATCTTTTCCTCAAGCCAGTGACATCAGTCTCCTTCATGTACTTCAAATGTGCTGGCCCCTATCCGTCTCAGGATCTTTTCATTTGGTGTTCCCTCTACCTGAAATACTCCTTCAGTTTTTCACATGACTGAGTCATCTCATTCTGTAGGTCAAGTCTCCACTGAGTTGTGATCTTCTCAAAGAAGCAGTCTTTGACTACCCTATTTAGTGAAGTTTTCCTCTTTACTCTCTACCTTATTACCTTTTATTATCACACATAACACAGTCTATATCATATTATTCAGTAATGCATTTTTTTCTTTTCTTCCTCATTAATTTGTAAGAATTGGGAGAGCAAGGAACCCATCTATCTTGTTTGTCACTGTATTTCCTGTACTGTACTCTGTACTTAAAAATAATACATGTAAAGGGCACCTGAGTGGCTCAGTTGGTTAAGTGTCCGACTTCAGCTCAAGTCATGATCCCCCTGTTCATAGCTTCGAGCCTGCGTTAGGCTCTGTGCTGACAGCTCAGACGCTGGAGCCTGCTTCAGGTTCTGTGTCTCCCTCTCTCTCTGCCCCTCTCTTGCTCATTCTCTGTCTCTGTGTCTCAAAAATAAATAAACATTTAAAAAACTACATGTAAAATAAATATTATAATTAATAAAATTACTTCACATAGTCTCTGATAAAAAAAAGTTACTTTAAGGGTTGTAAATGACGGCCATTCTCATAGTCCTTATGATATATTTTGATAATCCATTGTTATATTAAATTATTATCAACTAGGTGAAGCATCTTTTCCTTCTACTTACTCAAAAATATAAAACATTACATTTAACACATGTGTCACATATCAGACTAATGTATTTTTAATTGGGGTTTTTTAAAATATGAAAAAGATGCCATGCTTTGAAATTTGAAATATATTCAAACAAAAAAGACCAAAAGCAACAAATAATGACTGTAACTTCCTTTAAATATTAGGAGTTTGTGTTTTTAAATTTATCTCAGTGAATCTCAACTTGTTTCAGACCTCAGTTTCTACTTAAATTAATAATTTACATATAAAACAAGCAACATTTTCTTGTTTCACTTACTCAAATACAATTATTAAGCTCAATACGCTACAATTTTATTCTGAATTCTATAAAAGAACAGCCATTAATGTGATAAAACTTGTGTTAGAATCAGATTAACTTCAAAAAAAAGAGTCAGATTTAGTTGTTTCAAAATACCACATTTTGTCATTTAGTTGGTGACAATTATTCCTTTTTTCAAATTGATCAAATGTAATAATCAGAGACAGGAAGTTCAAACTCAATGAAGTTCAATAAAAATGTACTTATAATATTTGTAAAATTTTTAAAATATATTCTTTTTTAAAAGGTTTTATTTTTAGAGTCAGAGTGTGAGAAGGGGAGGGGTGGAGAAAGAGAGAGAGAGAGAGAGAACCCAAGCAGACTTCTGCATGATCAGCACTCAGAGCCTGACATGAGGCTCAAACCGATGAAACCACGATATCATAACCTGAGGAGAAATCAAGAGTCAGAGGCTTAGCCTGCTGAGCCACTGAGATGCCCCTAAAAAAATATATTCTTGAAGACAAGTAAAAGAATATTTCTAGTATGAAGAAGATTCTAGAACAAAAGATAGGAAAACATTTGTTTTGAAAGAAATTAATGCTTCCATTTCTAGCCATGAAAGGCACCCATTACTAGATTAATCCTCCTAACTTAAAGGAATATGTATGACACAAGAAAATACATATGAAATAAATGATTTCAGAAATTGGACAGGGCTTGAGGTGAGCTCATGAATAAAGTGGTTTTCAGCATAGAGGTACTTTCTGTATTATGGCTCTGGGAGGCATAATCAAAGAAGAGGTCTTGCTGAGATTTAAAAAAAAAAAAGTGGGGGGCGCCTGGGTAGCTTAGTCGGTTAAGCGTCCGACTTTCGCTTAGGTCATGATCTCGCGGTTCGTGGGTTCGAGCCCCGCGTCAGGCTCTGTGCTGACTGCCAGCTCAGAGCCTGGAGCCTGTTTCAGTCTGTGACTCCCTCTCTCTCTGACCCTCCCCTGCTCACACTGTCTCTCTCTCTCCTAGAAATAAATAAAAAACATTAAAAAAAATTTAAAAAAAAAAAAAGTGGGCAGAGATCAGAGTTTAATGATGCTGAGGCACTTGGAATTGCTAGTGTATTATAGTAGAGAGAAGGAAGCTGTGTATAGGATAGGAGCTACAGAAATATATAACTGAGTACTAAGCTACTCATGAGCAGGTGAAGATTTTGTAGGGGCTACAAAAGAATGACCACAAGGAGATATGAAATAGCTAATTATTCCACACATTGCACAATGCTAAGAGACATAGAAATATTGGCCAATAAGAATGAAGAAAGACCCCAGAACACCCCAAGCATTCAATAAAGAAACCAGAAATATGCATATTAGGTTTAAGTATACTTTAGCCCAAGATTAAAACTGCTCTGCCCAACCTAACATATCATAAAAAGAAGTCTCAAAAGCCTGAGGTTGAAATGCTAGTACTTGAACTGCCTACTCAAAAAATTGAAACATTCAACACCCAAAAGATGGCAAAATTCAGACTCTCAACAATGTAACATTTTAAATATTTAACATATAATCAATAATTGGTAGACACAGGAAGACTCAGGAATATATAACTATAGCCTGGGATCGGAGGAAGCAATTAACAGAAAAATACCCAAATATTTTAAAATTAGTAGATAATGATTTCAACACAACTGTTACAAAAGACATCTATGGATTTCCAAAACACAAGATGTATGTGATTGAACAAATGAAGCTGCAGTAAAAAATAAAAAGATTTAAAACTGAAAAATAATACTATATCTAAATTTTTAAAAAACACCGGAAACGCTTAATAGATTGCATAATAAAGAAACCACAGTGAGCTTGCAGAGAGGACAATAGAAAATTAGCCATGTTGAAGTAGAGAAAAAATAATCCTAAAAGTAGTGATTGATCCTTGTGACTTGTTGGACAATACTGACAATAAATGTATTGGACACACAGGAGTGGAGAGAAAGATTAAGGTAAAAAAAAAAAAAAAAGGTTGTAATAGTCAAAATTTTACAAATTTGTTTTAAAATTCAACCCACAGAATAAATAAATAAATAAATAAAGTTCAACCCACAGATACAAGAAACTTAGCAACTCCCAAACAACTACTCATGCATACCCATATTATAGTCAAATTTCTAAAAACTGAACATAAGATAAAAATTTTAGGTCCACCTGGGTAGCCAAGTCACTTAAGTGTCTAACTCTTGATTTCAGCTCAGGTCATGATCTCACTGTTCATGAGTTTGAACCCCGTATCAGGCTCCTCACTGTTAGCACGAATTAGATGCTTGGGGTTCTCTTTCTCCCTGTCTCTCTGCCCTGCCCCTGTGTGCATGCTCTCTCTCTCTTTCAAAGTAAATAAATAAACTTAAAATTTTTTTTAAAGCATTAGAGAAAATGAACAAATTCCATACAGGGAAAAACTATAATATGAATTACATAATTTCTCATCAAAAACAATGGAAACTGAAAGATAGTAGATTATTATCTTATATCTAGAAGGGCAAAAGAAAATCTATCACCTTAGAATTCTATAATCAGTAAAATTATATTTCAAAAATTAAGGCAGAATGAAAACATTTTCAATTAAACTAGCTGAATTTGTTTATGATCAGCTTATCTGAACTGTAAGAAATCTTAAAGGGAATACTACCAGCTGAAAGAAAATGATAACCAGATGAACCTCAGTCTAAGAATAAATGAAAACCACCATAAAGGAAAAATAGGTAGGAAATAAAATTATTTTGACATACATATTTAACAATTTCTTTAAAAAATAATTAACTATATAAGGCAAAAATAATTACAATGTACTGCTGCATTTAAAATATATAAAGTTAAAATGTATAACAAGTATAATATAAACAAGAAATGAAAGAATGAAAACATACTGTTTTAAGATTTTTATATATAAGGCACTATAATATTTATTAATTGTTGGCTGTGATATGCTGAAAGATAATATTACAATCTCCAGAGAACCATACCCCCAAATTTTAAGTGCACATTTACAGGCCAAGAAAAAGACAAAAATGAAATACCAGGAAAAAATTCAAAAGAAGACAGGAAAAAAAGAGAAATGGGGCAAAGAAATGATTTGAATAACAACAAACTAATAGCAATATGGCTGACTCAAAACCAATTATATCCATTTTATGTTAAACATAAATAGAATAAAAACTCTAATTTAAAGCCAGAAATTATCACCTACATTACAAAAGCAGTATACAACTTTATGCTGTTTACAGGTATGTATTTTAAATATAAAGATTCAGCTAGAGTAAAATTTTAAAAGTGGAAAAATATGTAAGGAAAATTATATCATCTTGATAGATTTGGGGGAAAAACAATTGATAAAATTCAACACTCATTCATAATAAAAACTCACAAAAGCAGGAATAGAATGGAACTTTCTCAACTTTAAAATCCTGAGTTAAACCTAGATCTATGGAAAAATCTGAAGTCAACGTAATATTAAATGAAGCAGGAATGAATGTTTTCCCCCTTCCTATGATGGGAAAGCAAGGATATCTATCTAAATATATCTCCTCAGTGCTGTATTGGAAGTCCTAGCCAGTGCACTATGGTAAGAAAAATAAATGTGTAAGACTGGAAAAGAAGGAAATTAAACTTCCTCTATTTTCAGATGACATGATTATGTAAAATCATAGCATTTGACATCAATGTACAAAATGCAATTGTGTTTCAGTGAAAAACAGAAAATAAATTTTGTTTTAAAATTCAATCTATAATACCAAAACCTCTACACTAAAAAGTATGAAACTTTGCTAAGAGAAATGGAAGAAAACCTCACTAAGTGGAAGGTTATATCATATCATTGATTAGAATATAGCCTATTGTTATGATGACAGTTCTAATTCTTCCCAAATTACTGTTTAGATGCCACTATGCACCCATTAGAATGGATAGTATCTTAGAATGGACAAAATCAAGTGTTGGCAAGAATGTAGTACAATTAGAACTATCGTACAGTGTACATAATAATGTAAAATTTTATAGCCACTTCAGAAAATAGTATTTATTAAAAAGTAGACAGACACCTGACCTAAAACCCAGTCATTCTACTCCTAGGAACTTCCTAGGAGGAATGAAAAATATATCCAATCAAACACATGCACACAAATATGTATAGCAGCTTTACTCATAATATCCCCAAACGGGAAATTCAAATGTCTGTCAGATAGGAGAATGGATAAGCAAACTGTGGTGTATTGATACAAAAGAATAATGCTCATTAATTAAAATTTCTGGACTGCTGATACACTCAATAATATGGGTAGTTTCAAAACATTATACTGAGTGAAAGAAGTTATAACCAAAAGTATTTACTCTATAATTCCATTCATAGGAAGTTCTAAAATAGGTGATATTAATCTAGAGTGAAACAAATCCTACCAGTGCTTGCCTGTTTGTTTGAGAAAACTTTATGTTGAAAGGAGTGTGGTTTTCATTCAGCATACGTGTATGTTAAAATTTATTGAACTGAATGTGTGCATTCCTTTTGATGTAAATTATGCCTCAATAAAAGAAAATAAAAGAAATATATCTTATTCAATATTGGGGAAAAAGAAACTTAATCAGACCAAAATATTTGTTTCAGTAGTAATTTAATAATAATTGTGTGATGGCATTTTTTTCTTCTGAGGACTTTCTGGTGGAGAAGGTAGTGACAAAACAAGACAGGAGCCCAAACGTACTTTAAAAATTTCTGTAATCCAAGCCTTTAATTTTGTAGATGCAAATGGCTCTTAAAAATGTAGAGAAATGTTAATCTTCAAAGTATTTTAATATTTCTCATTATCCTTCTTGGAAGTTTTTGCTAACTTATGCTACGCAGCACTGTCAGTCTGCAGGAGACAGTGTTCAAAAGCTGGCATTGTCATGTGAGAAATGCTGTCCTCTAGCTGAACTGTGGTTCTGAATACTTCTGCTGGAGTGTGGACAAAACATGATAAACTGTCAGCGAGTCAATGGCCCTAGTCCTAGATTTCAGTCTTCTGTTTGGAATCATTCTCCAGGGGGAAACACTTGGGCATTTAAAGAAATCCTATTCACTGGCATTTTAACTCCAAACGTCCAGCTAAATATGAGAATTTAAAGCCCAAATGCAGGGATGAATTGAGGTCTTTGTTTTTAAAGTTTAGAGCAGACTTTTCTGAACTCTGATGAAACTGGCTTTGAGATGAAGAATATCATCTTTAAAAGATGACATTTCTTCACGGTACCACTTGGGCCTAAATTAATTTGTAAAGAAAGTAAGAGATTACCATAAGTAGTACCCATTGCAGGATTCAGATAAAAAACTTGGTCAACCTAAAGGAGGCAGAGATTCTGTTAACCAAAATGACATTGTTTTTTTTTTTTTTTTTTAAGTGACAAGGATAAGAGGAAAACATAAATGTGAATTATCTGAAGTCTAGGTTATTTTATTTTCCTATAAAAGAATAAAGTTAGTGGGAAGTAAGCTAATAAACTCTCCAATTGTCCCAAGAAGATAAAGGGCTTGTTTTCCAAAGTAAACTAAACTAAAAGTCAAAGCACTGAGTAAAATTTTGTTCTGCAACATTTTTTAGTGGAGCAAACTTCAATAAATTACAGTTTCCAATCTGGTTTTGCAGACTCTCTGAGGAAAAGAGAAGATACTTATGGTTTTATCGTTTCTACTGCAATAACGAAAACTGCTCCCTTCCTTTGGTGCTGGGTAGTGCCCCTGGATGGGATGAAAGAACTGTTTTGGAAATGCATACCATTTTGAGAAGATGGACATTTTCTTGCCCTTTGGAAGCACTTGGACTTCTGACTTCTAGGTAAGAATTGCAAAAACAATCATGATATTACTGAAGAGAAAATTTAAAGAGAAAAGAAATAGGACGATATGATTAATTCAGTAGCTATTCTGGTTCTTCCCAATTTCAAGAGGTATAGATATTAAATTTAGACAAATGTAAACCATGAATATAAATTTTAAACAAGTCTAAGCTATCATTGTGTCTCTGGTGCCAACCTGGAAGTACGATTAATGATCACAGTTTCTTACATGAAAAGACAAAACAAAATAACAAAAACATTAAATAGGGAAAAATAAAATTCTCTACTCTGACCCCTCTCAAAAGAAAAAAGTCCTGAATAAGTGGGACCATATCTTTTATTATTGAAGTATACAAAGTATGACAAAATACCCCATTTATAGTAGGTGTACAATTAATATCCCAGAGATAAAGATAAGAAAAAACTGTGATAATATATAGTAATTTTTATATTCTCCAGATAGTCTCCCAGAGTAAAATATACAAGAATGCAATTGGGGGTGGAGAAATGATGTCTTTTTATAGTTAGGGAGAAATACATGAGAACAAGTGTGGAAGCTGGCTCTAGTTTGGGGAAACAGCTCTTCCTTGGCTTCTATTTTACATTAAAAGCCAAGAAGAGCTATTTTAAATCTGTCTTGATAGCATCAGTTCACTGATGCCATAAAGAAAGTCCATAATGTCTAGAATCAGAGAAGAATTATGGAGACTAGCTCTATTCTGATTTTTCTCTCAAGGTCCTGACAGAGGGGAAATGTGAAAGAGAGAGTGACATAAAGGACTTTTCAAACTGATATAGTTAGGTTTATGTTAAAATTAGTGTGCTTTCCAAAATTTCTGGGATGGAAGAGGAAGTGAAAGGGTTTTCTTTTTCTACCACAATGAAATACCACTTCATACTCACTAGGATGGCTATAATCAAAATCAAAAAGATAAATAACAATAAGTGTTGGCAAGAATGCAGAGAAATTGAAAACCTCATGCATCTCCGGTGGAAATGTAAAATAATGCAATCAGTTAAGAAAACAATTTTCAACTCCTTAAATATTAAACACTCAGTTACTGTATGACCCAACAATTCCACTCTTAAGTATATACTCAAGATAAAATACACGTTCAGTCAAAAACTCATATGTGATTGTTCAGAGCAGCACTATTCATAATAACGAAAAAGGAGAAACAAGACACATGGCCAATAACCAATTTGTGGATAAATAAAATGTGGCCTACCCATACAATATAGTATTATTCAGTAATAAAAAATGAATGAATACTAATACATGTTACCACAAGAATAAACCTTGAAAACATTACGCTTAATGAAAGAAGCCCATCACAAAAGACCACATATTATATGATTCCATTTATAAGAAATTTCCAGAATAGGCAAATCTATAGATACAGAAAATAGATTAGTGGTTGCCTAGGTCTAGGGGAGGTTGGGGAAAAAGAGGGTTGATTGATAATGGACATGAAGTTTGTTTTTGTGATTATAGTTACACAACTCTGGGAATATACTAAAAATCATTGAACTGTATACTTTAAGTGACATGACATTTGAATTACATCTCAATAACACTATTAAAATTTGAAAATAATAATTGTATAGGTAAAAATAGTGGTATGAATCTCTGTAATATCTCCAAATCGTAATTTGCTCACCAGACAATAGAATAACTTTCTAGTTTTTAAAGCATAAGCTGGCTTTATTGGGTGATGGGGGATTATTATTGTTTTAGTAAGATATACCTGGGTCTATTTTAAGGATACTTAAATGTGTTGATGAATGCTTTTTATAAAGTTTATAGAATATTTCTTAGGAAAATCTTTTTTTTAATGCTCACATTTTTAAACTTTATCAAAGCTTTTTGATCTTTTTTCTGAGGTAAATAGGTTGTTGCTCTGACATAACGAGAAATAGGAATTCCCATCAAACAGATTTCATGATGTATAATATATATTCCAGAAATAGTGAGATCACACATGGATATACTTTCAGTGAGCATAATTAGTTGCTATTCACTCAAGGGGTAAACCAGTAATGAGCCAAATGTATATACATGCACAAATGTACAATTAAGAGCAAATTACTTTAGATCCTAAGTGTCCAATGAATGTTAAAAATGAGTTAGCTCTTGCGACAGACATATGGAAGCTATAGATTGCAATTTTCATGTAGAAGTAGCTTCATATCCCATCTCTTGAGTTTAGCATTGCACAGCAAAGGATCATGCTGAATATCATGCCAAAGACTGTGTGATTCTAATAGCAATAAATTTTGATGACCTAAAGCTTAACACTGATTATGGTTTCAATTTCATCAACACAATGCTTGTGTCCTAGAAGCATCTTTGGCTATGTGTGTTGGATCTCTTCAGAGCTTTTGTATCACAGCACTGAAATGTTGATGGAAGGTATTGAGTGCCCTATTTCCTTTTTCCCTGTCGGTAAGGTAATGGTTACAAGCCTCCCCACACATGGTCTGAGCATGTCCTATCTATAGCTATACCCTTGCCTATTAAAAACAAATACTCCCATGGTTACATCAGTAGCAAATATCACCAGTTAGGCAGGTGAAAATGCTGAGCACACAATGCACCTCCCTCCTGGCTTTCTAGCACTGGAAGAAGCCCACAACTATAATCAGGACCCCTGCTCCAATCAGCATCATGTACAATTACTCTGGTGACTCGTTCTCTGATAAGAAATCCTTTATGGTACCTCCAAACCAAAACCGTAGTCCAAAAGCAAAGATGACCAACCCCATCAGCCAGGAGAAAAGGTTGAAACCAAGCAGTAAGCACTTGATGCACCACAGGCACCTCTGGAGGCGCCCCACCTGTTTATCCTTGTGACAGTATTCTGAGTCCCCAACCCTGCACTGGTGCCTGGAGTCATGGGAGCCTCATAAAAATCTTTATCCAAATGAAGCCTATAATATTGCTTAGTTACCTTGCTGAGAAAATGAAAGGATTCGCTAAATGGACTTCAATATTTTCTGATCCCTGATAGATAAGCATAATTCCCAGGGCGCCTGGGTGGCTCAGTCAATTAAGCCTCTGACTTCAGCTCAGGTCATGATCTCCCAGTTCATGAGTTTGAGTCCCACATTGGGCTCTTGTTAACAGCTCAGAGCCTGGAAACTGCTTTGGGTTCTGTGTTTCCCTCTCTTTCTGTGTCTTCCCTACTCGTGCTCTGTCTCTCTCTCTCTCAAAAATTAATAAACAATTTTTTAAAAATAAGCATAAGTCTCCTTATAGTGAGCCTTCTCCACCTGAACAGAAGCTGAAAATCTATTTGACTCAGTGTTCTATTTTTTTTTTTTAATGTTTATTTATTTTTGAGAGAGAGAGAGAGCTTGTGGTCTGAGACGCACATGAGCTGAGGAGGGGCAGAGAAAGAGAGAGAGAGAGACAGAGGATCAGAAGTAGTCTCCACGATGACAGCAGAGAGCCGGATACAGGACTTAAACTCACCAACTGTAAGATCATGACTTGAGTGGAAACTGAGTGAGATGCTTAACTTACTGAGCCACCCAGGCACCTCCTCAATGTTTTAAATATAAAGAGCAAATTTTTACTTAGTGCCACTTAGTACCATCTAATTTTAATATCCACAATAACCCTATGAGGCAAATACTATTATTATTCCAATTATACCTGTAAGAAAACTGAGGCTTATAGAGATTAAGTTGTCCCATGTTACACCAGTAACATGAGGAGCTCAAGTTAAATCCAGAGATTTAGAGCTTGAAATATTTTTATTTTCTTTTATTTTTTTACTTTTTAATTTATATCCAAGTTTGTTAGCATATAGTGCAATAATGATTTTTGGAGTATAAGCCAGTGATATATCCCCTACATATAACACCCAGTGCTCATCCCAACAAGTGTTTTCTCTAATGCCTCTTGTCTATTTAGGCCATCCCCCCACTTATAACCCTTCCAGCAGCCTTCGGTTTGTTCTGTATATTTGAGAGTCTCTTATGTTTTGTCCACCTCCCTGTTTTTATATTACTTTTGCTCTCCTTCCCTTATGTTCATCTCTTTTGTATCTTAAATTCCACATAGGGGTGAAGTCATATGTATTTGTCTTTTTCTGACTAATTTCATTTAGCTAATACCCTCTAGTCCCATCCACGTTATTGCAAATGGCAAGATTTCATTCTTTTTGATTGACGAGCAATACTGCATTGTGTATGTATATATATATACCATATCTTCTTTATCCATTCATCTGTTGTGGACATTTGGGCTCTTTCCATAATTTGACTATTGTTGATAGCACTACTGTGAACATTGGGTTTAGAGCCTGAAATCTTAACCACTGTTCTTACAGCCTTTCTACATACATACTGTAGGCTATTTGCTTATTAATTTTTTAATGCTTATTTATTTTTGAGAGAGAGAGACAGAGCATGAATGGGGGAGGGACAGAGAGAGAAGGAGACCCAGAATCTGAAGCAGGCTCCAATCTCTGAGCTGTCATAAAAGAGCCCGAAGCAGGGCTCAAACTCAGGAACTGTGAGATCGTGACCTGAGCCGAAGTTGGACGCTTAACTGACTGAGCCACCCAGGTGCCCCAAGACTATTTACGTATTAAATATGTAAATAAAATTATCTTAAAATGGCCTTATTATAGTAAGTAGCAGTACTTAACCATATTATCGTGCTTGGATGTTCACTGTGTACTTTCTTTTTTTCCAAACAATCAGATTTTTAGAGATTTTAGGGACTAGTCTCAAAGTAGTGTTGTTTATTAAGCATCATTCAGGAAACTTATAGAAACTTGATTTATATGAACATTGGACAGTTCCTTATCATGCACCAAAGAAGGCCACTGGAAAGGTTAAAATATTTCCATTGCACTCATTCTATAATTCCCACTCTTTTTAACTGAACTACTAAAAAAACTTGAGGACAAGCTGTTTCCAAAAATGAACCTTTCAACTTCTCTAAATTCAAAAGCTGACTTTTCTGAGAACAAACAGTTTGTGCTTG